AAGTGGACTACCTGATGTCAGTTATGTACAACACTACCTGTCCCTAGAAGATCCCAATTAAGTTTGATGATACCATTACTGTTATTGACATTGTTTTTCTTTGGTTTTCCCAACTGAACTTATTTAAGGATCCGAAAGTAGTGGCGAATAAAATGGATCTATATAGTGAAAGATGCTACCGTCCATGACGTGATAATTCAACGGTTACAAACCCCTGACGAAATGATTCCGTAATATGATCTTAGCATTTCCACATTATAGTATAGTTTTCAATGAGGTTTTTTATTAAGTTGATTCAAATTGCTTTGGACATAAAAGAAATTCATTTTTTATTCGTAAAGATTCATTTTATTGATATTTAATTTTTAAAAAATTATTATTCATTTTACCCTACTTTTATCTACAATCCAACAAACACAATTAACAAAAAAAGTTATTTTATATATTTATTAACAAAAAATATTATTCATTCACTTAGATATAACTAACTATCAAACATATTAATTAGTAATTTATTATTTTTGCGAAGTTAATTTTAATTATTATATTTTTATTTTATGCTCATTTAAAATTTCATTTTTCTTCAAAATCATTTTTCTTTTCACATTTTCATGACAAAGTCGGCAAGATAATTTTTTTTGAAACAAATATCCAGTTACTGTCACTTTTATGAGTATATTAATACAATACCAATGTACTACATGAGTGTTGAGGTAAATATATGATATAATTTATTGCTAAATACAAAATTTCAAATAAATATTTTGATGGACTAATTGATGAAAAAAAAAGAGGAATAGTCAATTCAGAAAGTAATTTGTAAAAAGAAGAAGAAGAAGAAGAAGAAGAATCATTCACCAAAAATAGTAGTAGAAAATTTTGGGAGCATTTAATTTTTTAAATATATGCATTAATTGCTTCCATACATGTTTTCAAATAACATCAAATCAAATATGATCAAATATATTGTTTCCTTAAACAATTTTTTCATATCTGTAATAATTCTATTGATATCCACTATAATAAATTACAAGATCGATTCATGTTGATAATATTTTGGTTAAGATAAAAATTACAACATATTTTAAGTTATTACAATAAAATTTATTTTATGTCACAAATATTCTTTTATTAAAAAATATTTATAGAAAATCGTAACATATTAGTCATAATTTTTTCTTCCAATTAATTAGGCGAAATCAAGTCGGTGATTAATCTTTGCCAATATAATTTTTTTCTTAAGTTTTATTTTGTTATATACAAAAATGAATTATTCTACAAATCAATACAATTTACGATATATGAGATAATGACCAGATACATTAAATGATTTTACTAATGGTAAAAAAATAAAATTTATATATATTAACTATTCTTTAAATTATTGTATATTATTGGCAACCATGATTATTTTATTATCGTATTTTTTATTTTGATTTCTTTTTATCAAAAATTCATGTAAAATATATTTTTATTGTACAATATGCATATTAGAAAAATATTGATTATAGAAGAGATTGAGCTTTTGGCATTTGCTAAATAAAGTTGTTTAATTAGAATACAAAATTAAATTATAAAAAAACAAGTGTGTTATTTTGTAAAATATTCATAACTATTTAATTTTAAATTTATTTACATATTTTAAATTGATTACATAAATAATACTAACCCGCATTAAACATTTTTATTTACATAATATAAAAAATAAGATATAACTATTATAAATAATAATGATATTTTTATGACAACAAAGTTTATAATAAAATAATAATTATGTATTATATGGTGAGCAAAAAGTAAAACTGATATTTTCTCTTATATCATGTATATTGAAATCAATATTATATTAGTATAAATGTGTTAGTGAGATAATATATGAATTATTTTACAAGCTAGGCCCCAACATGCTCACATTTAATGTTCTGAACAAAAAAAAAAAAAAACAACGCTGATTAAAAGAGGTGGATTATATATTATAACCCTATTGTTTTTTAGACTTAACGCTGGTTAAAAGAGATGACAATAGATAATAATCCTATTATTTTTTAGATTTAACGGATAACACATTTAGTATCTCTATCACGTGCATCTCGCACGGGGTATATACTAGTGTATATTAAGAGAAAAAAAAATTAAGTGTATACGTATCTAGTTTGAAAAAAAAAATTATTTATGTCTAGTACCAAGCCTAATTCCAGAGCATAAATGAATATTTTTTTTTTTATTTAAACATCCCAGTGTGGGATGGGAGGTTGAGGCTACACCCCCGACCTGTGAATATAATGGCCTAGAGAGGGCTGAAAAGTCAAGTGTCTACATCAATGTCGGAGATACAAAGAACAACATCAAAACAGAACAAAAGAAAAATAATACACGATCACAAAATATTCGATGTGGATCTAAAAATCAAAGCCTCATAAAAGGTCGTCCTGGTCAGAGTATCCTGGCGTGAGGTCCAAAACAACAAGTCTAGTCAGGGTCAGGTGGCGGCGGTCATCCGAATCTGAATGATGGGTACTCTAGTTGGTCCATCCGAATGAGCGTCTGAAACCGGAGGGGAATGTGC